TTCTTTTTCTTCCAAAATCTCGAATTCCTGTCTAGACCCCAACTTTGCAGTGCTTCTATACAAGCTTTTTTACGGAGCATTATATCAGACCCCATGGAGGAGGACCAACTGTCTCGAACTACTCCAACCAGATCTTCGTCATGAAGCCATGCATTATCAAAACGGAACTTCCTCTCCGTCCTACGAGGTACTGCACCCTCTACCGTCGAGACTAACAATGGATCATGATCCGATGTTGGTGAAACCAACGTAGTCTTATAAGCTTCCTGGAATAAACAGGACCATCGATTATTGGCCATAGCACGGTCAAGTTTCTCTCGGGTGATAATTCGGCCCAATCGTTTTAAGAACCAAGTAAATTTATATCCTTTAGAAGGGATATCACATAAGTCACTCTCCACCACTGCCTCCTTAAAACCATTCAACAAGTATCTAGGATATTGGTTTCCACCAATCTTTTCTGAATCAGCCAATAGATTATTAAAATCCCCAACACATAACCAAGGACCATTATTTCTGTGGGACAGATTTTTAAGCAAGTCCCAGGAGTCCTGCCTTCTACATCTTTCTGGAAACCCATAAAAACCAGTTAGGTGCCATGAAACACTAGAACAAAGTACCAAAGCATCAATAAAATTATTCGAGTAACAAGAAATGGAAACATCAACTTCATTCTTCCAAAGCAAACCAAGACCACCACTTCGCCCAATACAATCCACAGAAAAGCAAGAATCAAAACGCAATAAAGAGCAAAGTTGAACAAGTTTCATTTTATGAACTAAAGTTTCACAAAGGCAAGAAATTATTCGATGGTAACAAGAAATTGGAAACATCGAACTTCATTCTTCAAAGCAAATCCAAGAACCCACCAACTTCGCCCAATACAATTCCACAATGAAAAGCAAGAATCAAAACGCATAAAGAGCAAAGTTGCGTTTCTTTTTGCTGTTTCACAAAGGAACAGTGGAGAAATACAGAAAACGCAATAAAGAGCAAAGTTGAACAAGTTTCATTTTATGAACTAAAGTTTCACAAAGGAACAAAATAACAGGGCGGTAAATTGCAACAAAGTCACATAGAGCTTGTACTGTCCGAGGGTTGCCAAGTCCTCGACAGTTCCACGATAGGATCTTCATTGCTTCCGGCCATCCTGCTTCACAGGATCGACCGATGTATGTTTCTCTGACTAAATGATGGTCGAAGTGTTACCAGATGCAGAATCACTTTTATGAGAAACAACATTGGTGCTATGAGTGGTAGGAAGAACTCGCGGTCTTTTTTTAGTCTCATCACTGATACATAAAGCCACATCTTCAAATCCTCCCGCTTCAAGAAAGTCATCTTCCATTTTATCAGAGTTTTGTCCCTCTTCAAGGTGTGAAGATGAACCATAAAAGGAATTACGAAAATTTCTCACCACAGTGTTATCTCCTTCCAAAATGGATGTCGAATTTCTAAATGTCCAATTTGCGGGAATGTCAGCAACACCAAATGATCGGATCCAGGGACTCTGTCGTCGCACTCCACGCCTCACCGGAGCACGGATACTATCATCCCAGGCCAAGATCAGTTCTGCTCTTGGATGAGATAACCGAAGATCACAGAATGATTTTGTATGGCCAATACGACCACATAGAAAGTAAATCGTGAAAACCTTCTCATATTGAAACCGAACATAAGAAACCTCACCAGACATAGCAATTAATTTCTTTTTACGTTTAAGAGGTTTACTGATATCCAGTTTCACTTTGATTCGAAGGAATTCAAAAACGGCCTCCATAGATGTCTTAAAGTCATATTCCAAATAAGATCCGATGAAATCACCCAATGCTCTAGCTGTTCCTTCATCAACAAGTCTAGTCGGCACATCTCTAATTTGGACCCAGATATCAGCAAACAATAAAGGGATCTCTAAAGGGTTTTCTCCACTGAGGATCTGTTGCCAAACAAGAAGATGTTTGTTAAAGAACCAAGGACCACCGGAGACAACCCTGTCCATATCAACCATGTTGTAGAAACGGAAGAGAAAACATTTGGCCTACTTCCTGGATATCCATTCCGCCTAAAGGATGCCAGAGATCTGCTAGTGTGTGTTTCATAGCCTCAAAGTTGATTCTGCTATAAGTGAGAAATATGCCAACCAAACAGAAACTATAGATCTGCTAGTGTGTGTTTCATAGCCTCAAAGTTGATTCTGCTATAAGTGAGAAATATGCCAACCAAACAGAAACTATAGGGGTCAACTGGAGGGTTATGAGTTGGATTAGGAATGGAAAGCCCAGTCTCCTCCTCCTCATCTATAGAAAGGTGGGCAAACTGATCTTCCATGACTGAAACGGAAAAATTGCAGGCAAGAAGAAAGAGGTTTATTGATACGTTAGGGTCATGGAAAAGAAAAGAACTGGAAAAATGGGAGATGTTTATGGTTTCATGGCGACAAAAACAAGGCGTGAACATGGTTTCATAGAGTAGAAAACGAATGTTGCATTGTTGAAGGCATCCAAAGCTTGCAAAACAAAGAACAATAATGCGTGCACATAGATTCATGGAGTGGAAGACAAAAATTACATAGTCAAGGTATCCAATGCTTGGATTCATGGAGTGGAAGACAAAAGTTACATAGTTTCAAGGTATCCAAAGCTTGCACAAGGCAGACATAACGTGCACATGGCAGAGGAAAAAATTCGATAACAGAAGTATAATTTATGGATGCTAAAGTCACTTCCAAATCATTGAAGGAGGCATGTGTTAATATCACTATAATTTAGGGAGGCATTTTTTTTTTCCCTTCGACCATCTCAATGCATGGAACTCAAAAAGTACAAATATTATAGAGTATTTAATGCAATACTGTATGATAGTATCTAAATGAAATGTCTAAATAATTTAACGAAATTAAATTTCAAAAACAAATTAATGACTGGCTAAATAGTAGGAATAAGATAATAATCTTGAGCAAATCTCTAGGTCTAAATAGTTAATTACCCTTGAAAGGTAATGTATATTAAAAGATATATATATATATATATATATATTTAAAAAAGGCAAGGGCAAGCTTTTTTTTTAAAAAAAAAGTTGACATGTTGATTTAAAAAAGGCAAGGGCAAGCTTTTTTTTTAAAAAAAAAGTTGACATGTTGTATTTCTTAAATGAATGTTCTTCTCTTACTCTTGCCACACAAGGTTCTTGATGATGACACATAGAATTATAATGTCATAGGACTCTTAAATTTTGATAGTGTCACACAGAAGTTAATTATTAGTTATAGTATATAAATATTGATATTATTTATCATTCAATTATTATAATTAATACATATTAGTAAATAATTATAATTATCATAATATTGTAACATATCTTTCTCAATAAAATTACGTAATGTTGGTCTTAATTGTCATTCAATTATCATATTAATATGTATTAAATAATTAAAATTATCATATTATAACCTATTTTTAATTAAAAATTATCATAATTTTGATATCATATAAATATGTATTATAACTTATCTTTTAAATTAATATTATTCTAATATTAATCAGTTGTAATTATTATTTATTATTATGAATAAAAATTTTATATTTAAAAGAATGATAGAGAAGATTAATGGTGAAAATATTTATTAATAATTTTATTAACGATGAATATACAAACGTTTCAATAGTTATTATTTTTTTAAAGGAACAGTATGATCCCTGTAGTTTACAAAATACTATTAATCTGTCCATGTCTTTAGGAAATAGACTAAAATATCCTTATAGTTTATTTCCATCAGACTATAAGGTCGTTTCATTCAATTTTTGTATCTTTTCCGTTAAGTACCTTATGAAATGACAAAAATACCCCTTTCGTTTTTAAAACATAGAGATGGACTAGTTGTATTTTTCAAACCATAGGGACTGCACTGTAATTTTTTAGTATAATATTTTAGTATCTCTCCTATTTTAGTATCTCTCCTTTGACCTCTATGTTTTCTTGTTGATTTAATGGAAAGTTGCAAAAAATTGAATAGAATAACCTAATTTTGTAACAGAAGCAAAATATAGGGACATTAATATATTTAAAAAAAGACAGAGATAGACTAGTTGTATTTCATAAACCACAAAAATCATACTATAATTTTTTCTTTTTAAAATTGCAATATATAATTGTCTTTATTAGTAACTTCTTTCCCAAGCAGGTAAAAGGACTCTAAGGTAAAAGGACTCTAATCAAGTTTCTTACAGTACGTAATGATAATATATTGAATTACCATTAATTGCTTATTACCAGACTCGTAGAGAGAACCCTTTGAGATTTAGTAAGATCATTTTTTTTTTTTAATTTTAATAATTTTCATACAATTTCTTCATTGATATATTTTTTTCTCTTCTAATTTCTATTACTCTATTAAATTAGGAAAAATTTAACAAATCGTAAGAGAAAGCGGTTTATACGAAATTACCATTTAAAAAATGATATATACACATTTTTAATATATACTTTAATACTATAGACATTAAATAAATTTAATATCGTCTAAAAAATTTATTAATTCAAAAATAAATTAAAATCAATAATTTTTAATATATACTTCTTTTTTTTTTCAATTTTATTATAGACATTAATTTTTATATAATTAGTCTAATATTTTGAATTTGAAATAAATGTTCTTTAATTTAAATATATTTTTATATAATTAGTCTAATATTTTGAATTTGAAATAAATGTTCTTTAATTTAAATAGTTTTCAACAAAATTAACAAATGTTGTATTAAAAACAATTTAAATTATAAATTTTTTCTTAATTAAATTATATATTTTAAAATATTATCACAATATCTCTAATATCTCTAAAATTATAAATAAATATATTTATCTGTGTACAGCACAAGCATACTGCTAGCATTATATTATCGCAAGCAGCATTTTTCATCTAAAAGTTTTCTTTCCACGATGAAAAACCCAATTTCAGAACCATAACAAAATTGAGTAAAAGGATGTCTCTTCTTTTGCAACTGTTAACGAAATAAACATTTTTTTTATTTGGGCATTCAATAAAAAGCCACTACTAGAATTTAGTACAATTTCTACAAGACATCAAAGAATTACCTATTATTGACATCCAAAGGACTATATACAAAGCAAAATCCAGCATCCCAAATATTTCGATATATAAGAAGGTACAAGAATGAAAAATACATAAAGTTACAAATATTCAGACAGATCTTGCTGGTTCTCCAAATCCCAGATAACCAGTCTTCCATCCAATCCTGTAAAATAAAATTGGCATAAATTGATATATTAGTATTCAATTAAGTCAAGCTGCATGGACTCAACACCAAATATTCGAATTTGACTCGATCTTAATCAAGGCAAGCTCAAGTTCTAGTCAGTCCAACTGAAATATTAATACTTGACTTGAGTGGCTTGTGACCCTAAGTATATGAATTTCAAATAGGTTTAAATATATTTTATAATAATGTAACAATATACTAATTTAAGTTCAAACTCGAGCTCATTCCATATTATCAAGTTTTAGTTTAATACTAACAACAAAATTTTTACTTATTTTTCCAATGGTAGTCGAGTTAAGTCAAGTCAAGTTTCAAGCCTCAAGTCTTCTAACCAAGTTAGCTGAAGCTCCGCACAGTATCAACTTACTCTGTTCGATTACACCCGTTGAGATGAATGCTCACCAGTGCATATAGGTAACTAAGTTTGGACAATGGATTGGCATTTATTTCTTTTCACTGACCTGAAGTGCTGAAGCGCAGTCTTTTAGAGCTCTTTGCTTTCCCAAGAGGCATGATACAACTACAGTTCCAATAAAAATAGTAATCATTAGATAAATCTCCAATAAAAGTAGTATTATATCTTCATCAAACCTTAAAGACTTCAAAGTTTGAAGTCAACCAAATTTAACTCCTTCACACTTCCAAATGGCAAAATGGGCATGCCTATGGAGGCAAGGTAGACAAATAAATGGATTTGGGAACCCATGAAGGATTTGAAGAGACCAACATAAAATGTTTCATCACAGCTTTTACACTTTGGCACGACCATTTATTTCAAAAGATCAAGCATTAAGCCCAAAGCAGGAGCAACTTCTCAGAAAACTAAGTAAAATAACCAATAACAGGAGAAAAAAATACAGCAGTTAAAGTAATAAAATACTTTATGCAGTTCTCATGTATGCCCCCATGTGATTTTGAAGGATCAGCGTCATTGCTCCCTGCAACCTTTGATTGGCTGTAAAATTTTCCAAAGGCTTCAGAAAACTGGTAAGAGAGAAAAAATAAATATAATGTTAGACCATTGGCATTACAAAACGCCAAAAAGAAAAGGAGGAAACAAAAGAAGTGAACAAAGTGATTGCGATAGCAACTGCTTCCAAACTCCTAATATGAAACTTTGCTTGCCAAGTTCTTGAAAAGTAGACAAGGGCACCAGAAGCGCTTGAGCTTTTAGCTAATTTCAAGTGCTTCAATTTTAAATTTTACAACCAAGTGTATGAAAAATTCTGATCAAGTGCATTTAGCAATTACTTTCAGCAGAATCTTGACATGAACACCGAACACCCCTTTTCTGTTAGGCTGTCTCGATGTGGTGACAGAAAGCTCATTGAAGTAAGGTGCAGCATGAGGTTATGCAAGGTAGGTAAGGTAATGCTATTTTTGTGTTTGGGAGGAAGGTAAAGTAAATGAGGTTCAGTGATGTTAAATTGAATATAAAAATTATAAAATACCTAGTATTGGAAACTAATGTTAAATATTAAAATTACAAAAATACCATTTTCAGTGAAAATTGTTATTTTAGATTACATATATTTGTAAGAACTATTTTTTTAATGAGATATTAATTTACAAAATATTAAATCAGTTCTCATTAAATTAAATTTTCAAGGACATTAGGGCAATATGGGGTTTCTAATAAGTAAACATGGATGATATGGGAAACTACAATTTTTATCCTCCCCAACCCTCCAATTATTTGGGTTGAAAAATGGGATTTGTTTTTTTTTTTTTTTTTTTTTTTTTTTATCCTCCCCACCCTCCAATTATTTGGCGTGAAAAAATGGGATTTGTTTTTTTTTTTTTTTTTTTTTTTCTTGGGGGCGGGGGGGGGGGGGTGGGGGGAGAGGAGGACAGGTTTAAGGGGGGGGGGGGTGGGGGGAGAGGAGGACAGGTTTAACCTTATAAGAACTTCTCACTCCTTCAAACCCTTTTCCCAAACAACCCAATAACTAACCTTACTTTACCTTACCCCCAAAAACCTTATATCAAAACAAAGCATTAGATTTGTTTTAGTTTTAGAAAAGTTAATATTTGTTAGACAAGCATAGAGATGCAACTGCTGTAACGGTATTAGTTTTATGGCTCAGAATGATTTGTCTCTGGTGCACTTATTTTTATTCACCTGGAATTATGTTTCCCAACTCAATAAAACTCCCAAGATGAGTGCTCATGATGACCATCTCAATATATCAGCATGGGTAAATGCCAAACTTGAAGTTTTGTTTGTTTATGAGGGTGTGCACTGTGCACCCTTAGATTGCTCCTTTTCTGAATATACCATGCCCATGTTAAGAGTATCATTTTCATACGCAGGTAATTTAGTGAAGGCGAGAAGGAGGAGGAATTACGCGAATCTCATATTAGGCTACCAAATAAACTTAGGCTCAGTAAAGTAAGTACAGATTTCAGTAGAAGCACATAAAGTGCATTGCTGATAACTAAATTCTGGAATGTTGACCTAACTATAAAACATGTAGCATGCTAGTTAATATGACTAGCTAGATAAAAATACATCAATCCCACTCCGACTGGAAGTGTAAGGCTTTCTTGATAGAGGTAAGCCTTGGATCTTGCTAGTGAGAGGCTAATATTTTGTTGCTTCATTTTTCTTTTTTTTTTTTTTGCGAAAATAATTAGATTTGCCACTCATCTTTCAAGCATAAGGTTCCCAAGTCGTTCCACACCAAAATCTATGAGGAATCTATATACGCAACTAGCTAGTTTTATAAATAGAAGAAACTGACATTTACAACACGCATAAAAGTGAATGCTTTTAGAATTCCAGAAGTGACACAAGTATTATCTTGCCACATATTACATATAGCAATCATTTTAAAATTCACTATGTGAGGGGGGCGCAAAAAACTGTACAAAATTAAATGTTCTATTATGATAACAAATTTAGCATAAAATTCCCACATACCTGTGAACCATATTTTGGACTTGAAAATGATGATTTTCTTTCACCAAGGAACCTGATAAAGCTCCTACAAAAAAAAAAAAAAAACCAAGGATTTCATTTGTTCTGCATAGCAGAGAAAAATATGCCACTGGAAAAACATGGCTAGCTTATCCATAACCATTCAGATTGATTAGAGAAGTGGTAGTAATTCTCGCCTTCACCAAAATCCCTATATATATGGCTGTTGGGGGAGTCTAATCAAGCTGGCAAATAATTATCAACAAGTATATATGAGAACCATGTGGAAAACTGTTCTTTTATGCAAACAGTATCAGTCATCATGCATCAACACTATATATGAACTAGAAAGCAAATCTGCAATCAGTGAAAGAAAATGACTTTCAAGAAACACAAATTACAAATTAAACCATACATATATACAGTAACACAGGACCATAAATGCATTGCTTGGACCAGTCTAAAAAGTGATACAATTGAAGCACCCAAAAATTCGATAGTTAAGCAAGTCTGACATGTATAAAATAAAGGTTACACATCAAAGCAACTCTCATCTCCCAACTCCAAAGAATTAAGAGATAAATTTTTATTTTCCTTTTTTTTTTTTTTTTTTTTTTTTCGCAAAGAATTAAGAGATTAAATTTTTTATTTTCCTTTTTTTTTTTTTTTTTTTTTTAAATTCAAACTTTTACCATTATTCCTCTTTCATATGCTCCAAAAGACCATTTGGGTTGCAATCAAATTCTACACCTATGACCATTTTTCTCAAGAAACCAAATATTTTTTTTTTTTTTTTTTTTTTTAAATTCAAACATACCATATTCCTCTTTCATCTGCTCCAAAGACCATTGGGTTGCAATCAAATCCTACACCTATGACCATTTTCTCAGAAACAAATAGGACCTGAAAACAAGCAACACATCCACAATTCATAGATCAACATTAAGTTAGTCACAAATGATTGAGAAAATTAACCAAAATCTTGAAAAGGTTAGCAACAGTGGATGCTGACCCACATCACGGAGAGGTAAATCACGAAATGCAACATTTTGGGCCAATGGAGAAGGACCAACTTCGTCAACAAAGTAAATCATAGAATTATGACCTGTAAAACAGTACAAGGCAAATATACAAGAAAAGTCAACACAAATCAGTTACAATATATTTGACACCCAAGAGTTTTATCTCCTTATCATTAGAAACTTAATATAACTGAATAAACAGATGAAAGTCAGGTGAAAATGGGCTTTTTTATTGATTTCTGGCAATTACAACTATAAAACAACTTGCGACGTCATATAAACTAGTATAAGTTTTCTGCAAAACAAAATGTAACAGATAACTTTAAAATTCATAAGACACCACAAGCATGTGATACCAATATCATTATCTTGCAAATAGCATAAAGTAGAGATATATTTCTGACCTAAATATGCTAATGTCTTGCCACTTGGTGACCACTTCACACCAAATGCCCAGGAAAATGAGAGATCAAGCTGAATAATTTGCTGTTCAACAAGAAATGTGAGGGAAATAAAATTATCACCGTGCAACATCAGCAAATAAAAAAGGACAAAGCAAAAACTTTATACAAAAAGGCAGCAATTCATCTATCAAACAAATTATGGATATAGATATTTATTACAAATAAAAAGATCACAAAAAGTGACATATATATATAGTTGAGTATCAGCACACAATAATTAGACCTACTCAAATTAAAATCTTTACAATCTTAGTTTTTCTAGACAAAACAAATCAAGCATTCAGACATCTTGCATGGCATTTTATATAGTGCCTTGAAAAATTAAAATATGCCAAGAACATACGAATTCCTTTTGTTAATAAAATTAATATACATAATAAAAAGAGTGCAAAAAAACTTTAGATATTGAATGAATGACCTAAAGTTTAAAGTTTATATGCCATGTATTTTAATTCAACAAAAGATACACAAGAATTCAAGAACAACACGTCAATTTAAACAATCGTCTCAAATGAACTACACATGTAGGCTTGGGCTGTGCATGTGCACTATCACATTTTACACGTTTTTGACTCAAGCAGTTCAGCTCAATTACTTCTACCATCACAATGGTAAGGAGCCAGAGTTAGTATTCTCTATTACACTTTTCAGGAGATGGAAGGTCATTTCAACCTATACACTCATCCACTTCTTGTTGGACATAATGCACTGCATTTTTTAAATGTTCCACGTCTCAATCTGTGCTAGAACAATAAATATACTCAAGCCTTAAGTTGGCCAGTGGAGAGTATACAAATTATTTGGCTTAAAGTTGTAAGAAAACATTATGTCTGCCAAAGAATCGAGCAGATTGCAAGGTACTCAAAGCTCAGCTCAGTAAAAGCTCGTTTGAGTTCAGCTTGCTTATTAAATGAGCTAAGCAATTGAGCTTGGGATGAAGGATACTTGGCCAGTTAAAGCTCATAAGCCATTTGATATGCAAGTCCATGATTCATGAGCCAGCTTATAGTATGTAATACTTTATTTCATATTTACTAAGCATTTAATTGACATTTATATTTTACAAAATTGCAAATAAAATTTGATAGATAACCTCTTGAGAGAGACTAAGCAATTTTTTGTGTTTTGATATTTTAAAAAAAGCAAAAGTGATTTTAATACTCTATATTTGATTGGTTTAATTGGTTTAAAGGAAAGTATAATTTAATTGAATATAATATTGTATCCTTTTACAATTTAATAGTTAGCTTTTAAAATTCATTTAGGTAAAATTGTCTAATTGACAAATTATAAAAGCAAAAGATAATTCTCCCATAAAAGCAAAAGATAAGAAATCAAACCTCCCCAAATTTGGAATCTGATGAAGTGCCAGTTTTTGAGTCCCTGGTCATGAGCATGGGGGGTAATGCAAACGATTTAGTGCTTAGATACATAGCAGGAAAAGGGAACATACAAACCAAAAGAAAAAGAAACTCAAGAAAAAATAATACTCTAAAAAGCACATGAAACATACTTTGTATCAACGCCTTTTATAAAGGTGGAAAAAACTCGACATTTTCCATCTGTAGATGTTGTTGCAAGAAGAATCTGTATTATGGAACATATTAAGTTAATACATCCAACTAACTTGAGGAGAAAAAAAAGGAGGCGTAGTAGTTACAATGATAGAACTAATCCATAAGACACGCGCATGATCATCACATAACTTTATGTAAAAGCATAAATGTAAAACATAAGTGTTATAGAAAGTCAGCTATGTAATAATTAGATAGCACAATTATAGGGATACAATAAATATTTTCCTAGAATAGAATATAAAAACATATATATAAAGACTTCTATCTCACCTAAGATCAATATGCCGAAAACATAGAATTTCTATATGACATGATATCATAGCCGCTAAAAGAAATTTTGAAACAATTTTCCATTTGAGGCTTCCCTAGTGAAAATCCACTGTTAGTTTAGGTCACCCTTGTAGATTGACTAGTTTGCCTCACCGCCTCTTTAGGAGGCTTCCTTGGCTGCCGATCTGCCATCCAAATCTGGCCACCAGAAGACTGGCGAGTGATGCTGCCTGAAGATTCTGCCATCAATAAATGTGCGGTCGCGTGGAGGAGCATCTGACATTTTCTGGCAATTGGCTCTCTTTCCAGTATAAACTCAAGGAGATCAAAACAGCCCTTGTTTTTCATTTGAATTAAGTTTGGTGGGCGATTTTGTTCTCAAAGCTATCATCCTCTTCTTTTACGATCCTTGTTGCTATTTTGGTTTCATTTCAACCCTTGTTTGTTTGCTATCATCCTCTTCAACCCTTCCTGCATCCTTCTTCACGCGCCAGAGCGTGACACATTTTCCAGCAACATGTTGGGTTTGTTTTGCAATTTTCTGCCGATAATGGGTTTGTTTTTGTGATTCTCAGACCTGATTATCTCTTTCTCAGGTTACATATAATGGGTGATGGTATTAAAACCACGGACACATGTTGGAAATTACATGGACGACTGACTAGAGGTCATGGTAATAAAAGGATGAGTCATGTTGGTAAAATGATTGGTTCAACTAGACCTATTGCACACCTACCTGAAGCATCTTCTGCTAGGAATTTCTCTATTAAAGAGGTACAATTATTACAGCGTTTTTTTTTTTTTTTTTTTTTTTTTTTTTTTTTCTGCTAGGGAATTTTTATTAAAGAGGTACAAATTATTACAGCGGGTTTTTTTTTTTTTTTTTTTTTTTTTTTTTTTTTTTTTTTTTTTTTTTTTTTGTCAAAACATGACTCTTCATCCACTACAGCTACTTCTAATTTTGTGCAACCTGTTATGGCCCTTCTTACTAATTTTGTTGATGACTCAAGAGTTATAAAATCAAGAGCAAACAAACATATGACAAGCTCTTCTAATAAAATTTTAACCTATTCATCTTGTTCTAGCAAAGAAACTGTTCGCATTGGTTATGGTTCTTTAGCACCTATTTCTGGCACAAGTTCTATTAAGTGCACATCCACCGTTGATTTATCTTTTGTCTTTCATATTTCCAGTTTTCCTATAAACCTTTTATCTGTTAGTGCCATTACAGAAGCTCTCAACTGCAAAGATGAGTTTTTTCCTATTCATTGTGTTTTGCAAGATCTGAGAACAGGAAAAGGATTGGCTTTGGTAGATTCCGTGATGGCCTATATCTTCCCGAAAAAGGTTGCAGTTCTCTGGCTCCTAGTATCCCTCAAGCCTTATGAGGAAATCATGGTAATGCTAGTCAATAAATAATTATGTGGCATAGGTGACTAGAACATCCTTCTTTTTTGGTTCTAAGAAAATTATATCCTTGTCTTTTTTATCATTGTCAGCTGGAGTCCTTATTGTGATGCTTGTGAACTTGCTAAACATACAAGGAGTTCTATATTTTCCATAATAGTAAAAGTCCGGTCCTTTTCATGACTATTCATTCAGATGTATGGAATCCTACTTCTACTATTTTCTTCTCCAGTTACAAATAGTTTGTTACCTTCATTGATTGTTGTACTAGATTAAATTGGGTTTACTTGCTGAAAGAAAAAAAAATGAAGTGTTTTTTTGCTTTAAATCTTTTCATAACATGATTAACACACAAATTGATGCGAAGATTAAAATTTTAAGAACTAATAATGGAACAGAATATATGGATAATATGTTTTGGGGATATTTACACTCAAACGGAATCATACATCAAACTAGTTGTGTGAATACTAATACTCAAAATGGGTGTCTAAAAGAAAATAGACATTTGCTAGAGGTAGGTAGATCTCTTTTATTCACCATAAATGTTCCTAAGACTTATTGGAGAGATGCAATGCTTTCTACATCATATCTCATTAATAGGATGCCTTTTAAAACACTCAATTTTAAAAGCCCTATAGCAACTTTACAGGGTAATACCTCATATATTGTTCCTTCCAAAGTATTTGGTTATGTTTGTTTTGTTCATCACAAGCATGGAGGCAAATTGAAACCTAAAGCCCTGAAATATGTTTTTGTTGGTTATTCTACCACTCAAAAGGGTTGTAAATGTTATTATCATCCATCTAGAAAATACTTTGTGAGTATGGACATAATCTTTAGAGAGTCTGAGCCCTATTTCTCCCTAGCTCCTCTTCAGGGGAAATTAGAATAGAAGAGGAAGCTTCTTTAGCTCCTATGTCTGTATCTATTCCTAAACAGCTCATGAATCTAAACACTGGTGATGAGCAAGAACCAAAAATGGATAGACTTGATAAGCTAGATTTAAAGAGGTACAGTTGAAGAGAAAAGGTTAATGCCATCGTGCTTGATACACCTGGTTCACCATTATCTCTGCAATCCGCTCCTAAAAATCTATGCGGTGAGTCTTCTATAACTCCTTATTCTAATTTTACTACGATTCTTCTGTTAATATCTAACCATGTAGTTGATGATGTTGATCTTCCCATTGCTCTCAGAAAATGGGTTAGAACTTGTACCAAATATCTTATATCCCAATTTGTTTCTTACAACACTTTATCTCCTTCCTATAGAGCTTTTGTATTATCTGTTTCTTCTGTTTCTATTCTAAAAAATTGGTAGAAAGCATATCAAGATCCAAAATGGAGAGCAGCAATGGATGAGGAGATGAAAGTTTTGGCAAAAAATGGAACTTGGGAACTTGTTAGAGAAGAAACCAACGGGATACAAGTGGGTGTTCTCAATAAACACAGGGCAGATGGCACAGTTCAAAGGTACAAAGTCAGATTGGTGGCAAAGGGATTTACTCAGACCTATGGGGTGAACTATCATAAGACTTTTGCTCTAGTTGCAAAGATGAACACTACTAGAGCCCTGTTGTCCTGTGTAGCCAACCTGGATTGGAGCCTACATCAATATGATGTAAAAAAATGGTCTTTTCTATGGTGATTTAAAAGAATATATGGATATTCCCCCAGGCTTTGATGATGAGAAAACCAAAGAAAAGATTTGCAGATTGGAGAAAGCATTGTATGGGCTAAAGCATTCACCTAGAGCATGGTTTGATAGATTTAGCAAGGTCATGATTTCCTTTGGCTATTCTCAAAGTAATGTTGATCATACCTTGTTTATTGGACACTGTAATGGTAAGATCACTTTGCTAATTGTTTACATTGATGATATGGTTGTGACCGGAGACGATAAGAGAAAATTGCTTGCTTAAAGAAGTTATTGGCTCAGGAGTTTGATATTGAGGACTTAGGAGGTCCGAAACACTTTCTTGGCACAGAAGTTGCTAGATCAGCTACAGGGATCTTTCTCAAAGAAAATATATCCTAAATCTCTTGAAAGAAACTGGCATGTTGGATTGTAAACCAATTGGCTCTCCCATTAAAGTTAATCACAAATTGCAAGCACGAAAGGGAGTGTTGCAAAATTATTAAATAGAAAAATAAATCAAACAATATGCGACACCAACAGGAGACAAAAGGATTACGGGGTTCGGAGAAGCCTAAATCCATGGGCAAAGGAGAACGAAATCCACTAATAATAGTGAAAATACAAATACAAATGGGAGATAACACTCAAAACCCTGAACCCAAATATATACCCGGGAAATCTCACAACATTTTCTCTCTTACAAATTGTACTGGTAATTAATATGATCAAAATTACCCTACCTAAACTAAGAGTAGAAAAGAATATATATTTGTCTCTCGCACTGTGTTTAGATATTAACAGAAGAATTGTAGTTTTAACTTTTCGTGGGCGGCAATTTTTACTTTTTGTCACATCATGAGCTGGCATACATTGAATGGCAGCTGGTACGAGTTGTCATTCACTGGATGGAGACGTAACCTCGGGAAACTAAAAGACGAGAGTACAAGCGATCGCTCAAAGGCATATCGCGTAAGAGGCCTGCAAATTTCATTAGGCTATTGCCTAATGTCCCTTGTTTACAACTCATAGGCTGTCGCCTATGGTTAAACTCTCCCCTCCCATATGCTATCACCTATATTAATGGGCATAGCATTAAAAATAAAGTCATTATTTAACAGGGAGAACCAGTTGACTTGGTCAATATCAGAGATTGGTTGGCAGATTGATTTACCTATCACATACTAGGCCCTATATAGCATATATTGTAAGTCTAGTTAGTAAATATATGCATGATCCTCGTAGTTCTCATCTTGAAGTTGTCTTTCGCATTTTAAGATATCCAAAGTCTGTTCCTGGAAGAGGTCTAATTTTCTCTAAGCATGGTCACCTCAAAACTGAAACTATACTGATGCTGACTAGGTTAGGAGATCAACTTCTGGTTATTATATCATTGTTGGAGAAAACCTAGTTACTTGGAGAAGTAAAAAGCAGACTATAGTAGCATGTTCGAGTGTAGAAGTGGAATATAAAGCTATGCTCAGGGGGTTTGCGAACTGTTATGGCTAAGGAAAATAATGGAAGAATTGCAAATGTTGAAAGGAGAAGATTTGACTTTGTTCTGATAATAAGGCTGCAATTAGTATTGCTCAAAATCCAGTTCAACATAACCAGACAAAGCACATAGAGATTGATAGGCATTTCATAAAAGAAAAAGTCATCCAAGGTGTTTTCAAGCTCACTCACGTGACTTTG